AGTAACTCACTTAAATTTTAATTTTTTAACCACAAAACTCACTTAAATTTTAAATTTTTTATTACACTATCTCTATCCATACATTAAAAAAAATGTGCTTTGCATAGGGCACGAATATTAACCCAATGAAAATCTAAAATTTTAGTCTCACTTATTAACCCAATGATACGCCAATAAAATTCTAATTGTTTAATTAAAAGTGAGCTCAATCTAATAATAAAATTCAAAATTAATCTAACAACTATAATAAATTAGGTTTTTAATTAGATCTCTAAATTAAATTTCTATGATGTTGCTCATCAAGACAAAATTAAAGGGTTGGAGCCAAAATAATAGCCAATTAAATTAAAATTTTAAGTCTAATAATGCCAGTTATATATAAGGGTAAACAATATATATGATCATTAAATTATAATCCTTGTGTCAATTAACTATCTGATTTTTTTTTTGTGTCAATTAAATTCTTGAATTATATCAATTGAGTTTTTTTATCTGCCTCCGTTAGAGTGTGTCACTCACGTGACCATATGACAAAAAAAAATAGAAGGACTCAATTGACACAATTAGATAGTTTATGAGTTCAATTGATAAAAAAAAAATTTTAGTTTAATTGATACAAAGATTATAGTTTAATGGTTATATGTGTAGTTTACTTCAACTCATTTTCGCCAGAAAATTTAATGGAGGCAAACATAAGAGTTCAATTGACACAATTAGAGAGTTTTGACTCAATTGACACAAAAATAATTAAAGAACTTAATTAACACAAGAATCATAATTTAATAGTCATCTGCATAGTTTATTCAATATAATGAAGTAATGGAAAAAAAATTAGGATAATTGAATAGTCGAATAAAATTAATAATTGAATAGAGAAATGTTATAAATACCAAAATTTTTATCAAAAAATATTTTTTCAAATGAGTTAGCAGCTCTCTTGTCCTCATCAAATGCTGATCAAAATATTTTTGGCTAGATATGAAGTTGTGAGTTCATTTGGTAAAAATATCTTTTAATAAATTAATTAAAACAAAAANCCCATCAAATGCTGATCAAAATATTTTTGACTAGATACGAAGTTGTGAGTTCATTTGGTAAAAATATCTTTTAATAAATTAATTAAAACAAAAAGGGATGGGCCCACACCAAGGACAAAAAAGTTATAAGGTGGCTCAACCCAACCCAACCACACCCAACCCCACTCAACCCATCCCATCCCACAATCGTGGTTTATGTCACATCTTGTCTTTAAGTTTCCTTTGACTGTTTCGACATGCCGTTTAATATGAGTGATGGTGCTGGCCTTACGTAGATAATCTGGCTTAGAGCCGACATTTGAGGCTTTAATAGCACAGTTTAATTGTAGTTGCAGAGACTTACGGTCTTGGTTGGTGGGTTTTCTTCTCTTCAACTTCACTTCATTTCTGATATCAANGAGCGGCGCCTGGGCTTGGGTGACCCCCTTGATCGGCGCCCCTTGGTTCTTTGTTTGGGCATTGGCTTCTTGATCTCCTTTTGGGCTTGGTGAGTTGGGTTCCTTTATGGATACTGATCTTTTGGGCCCTTCTTGGCTTATTTTTATTGGGCCTGGCCCAGTTAATGTTGGGCTCATTNAAGGGATGGGCCCACACCAAGGACAAAAAAGTTATAAGGTGGCTCAACCCAACCCAACCCAACCCAACCCCACTCAACCCATCCCATCCCACAATCGTGGTTTATGTCACATCTTGTCTTTAAGTTTCCTTTGACTGTTTCGACATGCCGTTTAATATGAGTGATGGTGCTGGCCTTACGTAGATAATCTGGCTTAGAGCCGACATTTGAGGCTTTAATAGCACAGTTTAATTGTAGTTGCAGAGACTGNTGTTGGGCTCATTAAGTACTATTCCTTTTTATTATACCTAGACCAACAAGAAGAAATTTTTAAGAGAGGTATACAATTTTTTTTAGGGAAGATCCTTATATGTTCAAATACTTCTAGGATCAAATAATAAGATATTGCANTTACGGTCTTGGTTGGTGGGTTTTCTTCTCTTCGACTTCACTTCATTTCTGATATCAAAAAAAAAAAAAAGAAGAAAAATCCTTCACTTCAGTTTAGTGTGGAAGAGGTTTCACTTTCAATGTGACCCATCTTTCTACTCGTTGATATCTACGATTAATGTTCACTGAGGCTGCTTTGTAGGTAGGTACATACGATTCCATCTTTATGGTTTCTTNTGACGGTCTTGGTTGGTGGGTTTTCTTCTCTTCAACTTCACTTCATTTCTGATATCAAGAAAAAAAAAAAGAAGAAAAATCCTTCACTTCAGTTTAGTGTGGAAGAGGTTTCACTTTCAATGTGACCCATCTTTCTACTCGTTGATATCTACGATTAATGTTCACTGAGGCTGCTTTGTAGGTAGGTACATACGATTCCATCTTTATGGTTTCTTCTTAATTTAGATCTCACTGTTTTTGTTTTTGTTTTTTTTTATTTCTTGCTCAGTATTGGGTTTCTTTAAGGCGTTTGATTTAATGTAACATATGGGTTGTCGTCATTTTGGGAAAGAATCTGGATTGAACAACTGTTTTGCAAGATATCTACGTTTAATGTTAAGAACATAAGTTTGTTCAATAAAATGGGTATTAGGGTTTTCATCATGCTGATCTGTGTTGTTTGACATTAGACTTTGAAGCTGCCAAATTATTGCATTCGAAGTTCATGTCTTGATTTACTGGTTTTGTGGCCAAACTTCTGTTTGAAGTGATTTCATTTTTCCTATTTCCCCCCCCATTTTTTTGGAACTATAGAATATTTTGTTTTATGGAAAAATGCTATTTTTCTAATCAATAACCTATNAACATAAGTTTGTTCAATAAAATGGGTATTAGGGTTTTCATCATGCTGATCTGTGTTGTTTGACATTAGACTTTGAATCTGCCAAATTATTGCATTCGAAGTTCATGTCTTGATTTACTGGTTTTGTGGCCAAACTTCTGTTTGAAGTGATTTCATTTTTCCTATTTCCCCCCCCATTTTTTTGGAACTATAGAATATTTTGTTTTATGGAAAAATGCTATTTTTCTAATCAATAACCTATTAAAACGTTGGAACTAATAACTAATTCAATGGTTGTAATGAATTTGATCATGATTAAGCTCCAAAATTAGTTTCGTATAGCACTGCTCTTTCTTTGTGTGTCTATTTTTTTCTACTGTTTGTTGGTGGGTTTTTTTTTTTTGGGGGAGGGGGGGGGGAGGGGTTATGGAAGTACCCTACATTTAGTTCCATATTAGGTCGTGTATATTCATCTAAAATGGCGGTTGAAGGGGAATAGACACAGCTTGTGTTTTAATGGACAGCATTGCTGCAATGGACAGAATCATTCAATGTTTCTTGATGGTATTTGATCAGGAACTTCAACCAACTCACTGCTATTTAATCTATTCTAGTTCAATGAGCAGAATTACCTGCATTTTAACTCAGAAACTCTGATGGATACTTGGCTTAGAATTGTAGATTTTATGGTAATCCTGATCAATAGCCAAAAAATTTAAGTGGTTATTGAAGATGTTAAACCTTTCCTGCGGATTGAGTTTGTGGTTATTGTAAAATTCACATTTGTGAATTTCTTTTATTGTTTTGCAGTAAGTTTTCTTATTTTTATGCATTTAGTGGCTAAAAAGAAACTTTTAGTTGATTTTTTCCTAGTCCCCTTACAGATTTATGCAACCCAAAAACTAGTTTAGTGTAAAATCTAGGCCATGTTTGTTAGCTTTCCGGAAACTATTTTTTGTTCTCAAAATTTCAAAATCACCTAAAACCTGTTTTTTTAGCATTTTTGTTCTCAAAATTTTGAGAAAAAATGAGATTTGAGTCAAAGAAAAAGAAAAGATGTTTAGCTTGTTTTTAGAGTATTTTTTGAAAATTTTGAAAACAAGGAGAACAATTTTGGACTTTAATGAGGTCTGTCATTCGAGTCTCCTTAGCAGCAAATTTCTTCATTCCTTTTTTTTTTTTTTTACCTTCTTCCTCTCTCTCATAATATATAAGATTCTTTGAACATGTTCCATCTTTGATAATAGTATTTTCACATTTTGTTTTGTGAAGAGACTGCCAACAGAGGCGTTTTTTTTTTCCCGTTAGAGCTTTTTTACTCCATCAATCAGTCCACTGTAAACTCTCCCCTTTTATGGGGCCTTTGGGCAGTCTGGTAATTATTGTGGAATTTAACGACAATCCCCGGTCAAAGAGAGTTATTTTTCATGCTCTGTGGGTCTAAAGGCATTATTAGTTGTATTAAGGTTTCACCTTTCACCTCTGATTCCAATCAAAGCATGCTGTTTTTCACCCTGCTACATCTATTAGTTTGCAAAGTGCTCTCTCTCTCTCTCTCGGTGCTTAAATTGACAACATATAATGCAATTGGATGGAGCACCTTCTATGGGTGTAACTTAAATCTTTTAGCTTCCTAGTTCTTGTCAGCATCACGAATTTTGATTAAAGAAAACTGTACATACTAGAGAAACTTACACAAATTCAACTTGATTAAATTTTGTCTAACAGACTCAATCTTACAATTCATATGCTCAGTGCTGCTGCCTAACAGAGTCTTCGATTGCTTTGAGTTATGCAACAGATGTGGAGGTCAAGGAAACTACCTTGCTTTCAGAAGAATTTGGCTTAGATCTTTCACTGAGATAAGAAAGAACATGGTTCAGACACTTGAAGCTGTCAAGGGTGGTGGGGGATCCATCAAAGNTCTCACTAAGATAAGAAAAGAACATGGTTCAGACACTTGAAGCTGTCAAGGGTGGTGGGGGATCCATCAAAGTGGGAACCACTGGGACAATCAGTGCCCTGATGTCAAGGGAACTGGGATCTATGAAATCTGCCACATGTACATCTAGTACGTCTACAGATAAATCTCCTACAGCGTCGGGCTTGACTCCTAGTGGTGCTACTACTCCCAAGAAACTAAAGCATAGAACATTAGTGGATGAAGCAAGCAGTAGTAATGGTAGCAACAGCATTAATCATAAAAGCCCTGAAAAAGTCCGCAAAACAAAACACTATCCGAAAACCCATCATATTCCAATGCTTGGCTCGGATAATATTTCAGTAGATGGAACTCCTATAAGAGGAAAACCTGACAAAAAGGGTTCTAACATAGTTGAAGTTGTGGACATAAAATGCAGGAATCAGGATAGGACATGGGTGACCCCTTTAACAAATCGACTCAAGAAGCTCAGTTTCTCTAAGCTCTCTGAGAGTGTTGTCTAAACCTGCACCCTTTGCACATCAGCTTTCAAATTTCTGTAGTTGAATCCAGAAATCACATTTGGTTGATTGTCAGCCACTTCTACCACAGAACACATTCTTGGTATGAACCTACTGCCTCCTTTCTTCTTTTTGGGGGTTCTGATCAACGACACAACCTTGGGCCTGGAATAACTGCTAGTGGAAGCTCTGCCTGTGACCTGACACCTCGATTTCTCTGAGGCATTCCGGCAGCCTAATTCTAGCTGGCTAAAGTACTCAATTTCTTGCATTATGAGGGATCCAATAGTTCCCCTAGTTCCTATCTCTATCGGAATTTTTGTGCCCATTTTCTCAGGCATTGTTGTGGCATTGGTGCTGGATTTATACATAGTGTTTTGTATGGTAGGAGGGAAGGTGGAGACTTGCGGTTGAAGAGAGGTGGTTTTGGGTCTTCTCATGGTGGGAGAATTGCTTAGAGTTGTGGACATCTTGGGTTGGCCTAATCCTCAGTGTTCTCACATGAATTCTTTACCTTATATTCTTTATCTAAAGTAGAGAGCGTAGTATTGTTGAAGGATTGGGTGGTCACCATATTCATGTGCATTCAGTTAAAACATTTATGTTGCCCTGCTCCTGGACCATCTTCTAACTACTTGTATACTAATTTCTTTTTTGCTAATTTTTTTTTCTCTAATCTCCGATAAAATTCTGATTTGGGGGGGTATAACAGTCATTATATGCCAGTCGATGTCATATTAAAACTTTTATTTTNCTGATAAAATTCTGATTTGGGGGGGGGTATAACAGTCATTATATGCCAGTCGATGTCATATTAAAACTTTTATTTTTTTTTCATTAGCTTCAATTGCAAGACAAGGAAATGGTGGGCTTTGTTTTGGTGGAACAACTTGATATGAGTGCTATTAAATTATATTATATTGATGAGATTTAGGTTTGCTGGCCCCTTCGGTAGTGATATTGATAGTCCTTTAAGATGAGATCCTCAAATATCATGTGAATCCAAGGTAAGCCTGTTTGATGTAATAACTGTGGATTGAAGGAAAGAAAAGACCGCGTTATCAAAAGTTATGACTTAAACAGGTTAAATTACAATTTAATGGAATTAATTTNTAAGCCTGTTTGATGTAATAACTGTGGATTGAAGGAAAGAAAAGACCACGTTATCAAAAGTTATGACTTAAACAGGTTAAATTACAATTTAATGGAATTAATTTGGTCTAAGTAGCATTACTCTCTTTTATATGCTTGTTAAAAACTAGAAAAACTCGACGAGGTCTAAACCAATTATAGCATAGTTGTTGGGATCGAATCTTATGGCAGAGAAGGGGTTAAGTGTTCAAAATTCATCTGTTGTTGTTATGAATGTCTCCATCAATTACTGTTGAGATGTTGCTAGCATGAGCAGGTTGGCAAAGCTAATAGACCTAACTAAAGCTGAACAATTGATTGTATTTTTATTGGGAGGCAGCAACGTCTTCAATTTGGCTTTTTGGTTCAGGATATGCAAGTAAAAAGAGAGCAGATTAACCCATCTTTGTTCATTGGATGTAGAGTGTGATATCCTATTATCTCTATTTTTTCATCTATATATATTCTTTTTTATTTCAGTTTCTTTTTGGGGAAAAAGGGAGTCTATACTCCTTAACTAGTTGCAATCAACCTTGATACTCTTACAAACCATAAATTAGTAATAGAGGAAAAAAAACCCAAAAAACTTGCCATGCTGATCAACCAATCATGCAAAACANATAAATTAGTAATAGAGGAAAAAAAACCCAAAAAACTTGACATGCTGATCAACCAATCATGCAAAACAATCAAGAGAGAGAGAGAGAGATTCTGCTGCAGCAGGAATAGCAAAAGAGGGGAAAAAGAAAACAAAAGAGGATTGGACACAGAGCTTGCTAGAGAGAGAGAGAGAGATTCTACAGCAGGAATGCAAAAGAGGGGCAAAAGAAACAAAAAAGGATTGGATATAGAAGCTTGCGAGAGAGAGAGAGAGAGAGAGAGAGAGAGAGAGGGGGGGGGGCATAAATTCTACNTGTATTTTTATTGGGAGGCAGCAACGTCTTCAATTTGGCTTTTTGGTTCAGGATATACAAGTAAAAAGAGAGCAGATTAACCCATCTTTGTTCATTGGATGTAGAGTANAGCAACGTCTTCAATTTGGCTTTTTGGTTCAGGATATACAAGTAAAAAGAGAGCAGATTAACCCATCTTTGTTCATTGGATGTAGAGTATGATATCCTATTATCTCTATTTTTTCATCTATATATATTCTTTTTTATTTCAGTTTCTTTTTGGGGAAAAAGGGAGTCTATACTCCTTAACTAGTTGCAATCAACCTTGATACTCTTACAAACCAGAAATTAGTAATAGAGGAAAAAAAACCCAAAAAACTTGCCATGCTGATCAACCAATCATGCAAAACAATCAAGAGAGAGAGAGATTCTGCAGCAGGAATAGCAAAAGATGGGAAAAAGAAAACAAAAGAGGATTGGACACAGAGCTTGCTAGAGAGAGAGAGAGAGAGAGAGAGAGAGAGAGAGGGGGGGGGGCATAAATTCTACTGCAGGAATAGGAAAGGAAAAAGGAGTGGACATAGAAGAGTGCTTCTGAAGTTCTATCAAAGCCAGGTTTCGATCCTGGGACCTGTGGGTTATGGGCCCACCACGCTTCCGCTGCGCCACTTTGATTTGTTGCTATAATAGACAACAATTTAAATCCTTATAGTATAATTTACCGCTAGCACATGTTTGAAGATAAAACCGTTGTGTTTTGGGCGAGACTGAAACTGAATGATGGCCTCAATTCCATGTACTATCCAACTATCCTTCCCCTCAAAACCCAACACTTCACCATCCTCTTTATGTGGGTCGACTCAATGTTTGTCCAATCTTAATTCTCAGTTTCTGGGTGGTAAACGGCTCGGATGGTTCAGACCCTCCAGACTTGGACCCAGTTCTGGTTCTAGAGCTACATGCTGGTTCAAATTCGGTAAAAATGGTGTTGATGCTGAGGGAGCTGGCATTTATGGCAGCCAAACACGTGATGATTTTGACCGCGATGATGTTGAACAGGTACTTTTTCTTTATCTAGACCACAATTTGTAGCCATTATTTGTAGTATGTACTTGCCCGTTGCTGTGCTTTTGCTATCATAAAGATGAAATGGTTGNAAATGGTGTTGATGCTGAGGGAGCTGGCATTTATGGCAGCCAAACACGTGATGATTTTGACCGCGATGATGTTGAACAGGTACTTTTTCTTTATCTAGACCACAATTTGTAGCCATTATTTGTAGTATGTACTTGCCCGTTGTTGTGCTTTTGATATCATAAAGATGAAATGGTTGCATAGCCTGGTGATAAACTATAAACTTTTATTGTAATTGAACTTGAACATTACTTGGGGGAATTGTGTATTGAGCCTGAATATGAAAGACTATTTTGCTTTCTTAAGCACCAGGTATGACTAAAAACATAATGCAGTCTTATCATAACTATTGGCTAGGCAAGGAAATGACCCAATTTTTTTGCCTTCTAATATTATTGTCCAAAATGGGTGGATGGCNATTGTGTATTGAGCCTGAATATGAAAGACTATTTTGCTTTCTTAAGCACCAGGTATGGCTAAAAACATAATGCAGTCTTATCATAGCTATTGGCTAGGCAAGGAAATGACCCAATTTTTTTGCCTTCTAAAATTATTGTCCAAAATGGGTGGATGGCCTTATTCGTTTTACTGTCAAAAATTGCTAAGCTGGAATGCTTTGCAAAATCTCATGATCATATATCCTCAACTGCCAAATATTGACCACCCGAGCTAGTGGTCTGGTAAGCCGTACCTGACTCCCGTGTGGTTATCAAGCAGTATTCGATGTACAGGAGTAATGTGGTTTACTACTTGGCTTTGGTGGTGCTGTGATTATGCCCAAGGATTACTACCTACTGGTTGCCCAAAAACTGCCAAATATTGACCTTTGATTGTATGATTTTGCCTTCAATTTCTCTCATTTTGGGGGGTATTTGCAGGTGGGTTGGAGGCTGAGGGGGGGAATCTCTTGTTCATAAGACATAATCAGTAGTACAAAACTGCAAATACTTCACTTCTTTTGCATTTGCCTAAGCTGATGATTAGTACAAGCCGAATAGAATGATAAATGATGGTTGAAGTTTGCACTTTGCATTACATTCGGATGAGACAGTGCATCCAGTGTCAGTATTTTGCATCTCTTTTAGATGTTCTTAATCTGCTCTATACTCAGATGTTTAATAAAGGACCTGAAACCAAAGAAGAGTGGGCCAAAATAGTGTCTTTCGTCTTGGACATTGGTTTCTGTCATGTGATGAACTCATTTGCTTTAATATCCAACTCAAACTCCTATGCTCATGTCACAAACTATTTGCAATATGCTACTCAGGACCAAAGCGCTGCCTCTAAACTGAATTTGTACCCTATACATATTTAGAAAGCAGTTGCTGCAAGCAGTTATAAGTGAGGTCTTCTCTGCCTGCAGCTTCTGGTTTGGTTTGCTAGGAGCTGTTTATATTAAGTTTGAGGAAACCCTCAGTTAGTGGGACTCGATCTGTTGTGATGTCATGTGTGGGAATCCCATACCAGAAAAAAAAAAGAGTAATAAACTCTCAGTATATGCTATGAAGGGGCTCAATATTAGGCTTACCTTTTTAGGTGGGTTTGAGTTCTAAACATGTATGTTGGACCTGGTGATGTACTCTCCTATCACCACAACACAACTTATGGCTAGGCTTGAGCTGCTGCAATGTGCTTGCTAAGGAGGTGGGGGTTT